TCATACATAGGGAAAGGATTTAACTTCTCAAAAGAAAAAAAGTGCATTTTAGAGTTAAAGTACACAATCGTTAATTAAAAATTATAATTATTATAAAATTATATATATATATATATAATATAAAAGTAAAAAAAATTTAATTTAATAATTAAATTTATAAAATTTATATTTAATATAAAATTATTAAATAATATAATACTTAATAAAATTATTAAACTCTAAATAATATAATATTTAAGAAAAATTATACTCTTCATTATTTTCCTTCTTCTCATTTATTACTTATATATCGATGTCTGTAATGTTGTATCAAATAGCACGCAACACTTCTAAATTTTAATTTAAAATATCTAAAATAAATATTATCTCCATTCCTATTTATAAAAACCCACTTACAAGAATTATTTGTTAAACTCGGTAGTTTTAGTTATACTAAAAGCATACTTTAGTTGGGTGAGCATTTGAACCGGAAGCGGACCGGTTTATGTTATGAAACCGGATCTGAACCGGTGGTGCAATCAAATCCCATGCAAACCAGCGAACTACTGAAATTCTGATGTTTTTCATTATCATCATCAGACAGAGAGAGAGTGATAGACACTCTGTTTCTGATGGAGGAGAAGGTTGCAGAACGAAGCGCATCGTTCCACTTCGACTTCAACATCAACATCGAACTCCCCTTCGCATTCCAATTGGAAGAAGCAGTGTGCAGTTACGGCTTCTTCATGATGGCACCCAACCAGTGGGACCCACTCTCCAAAACCCTCACGCGCCCTCTCTCCTCCTCCTCCTCCCTCGTTTCGATTTCTCAGCGCTCCCAAACCCTCGCCGTTAGGGTTCACGCACTCTCTCCCCAACACCAACACCAACACCAACACCAACACCAACACCAACGCCACATTACGTCTCAGATTTGTAGAATGCTGCGCTTGTCCCAAGCGGAAGAGAAGGCTGTGATGGAGTTCAGAAGCATGACTCTCGACCTTCCAGATAGAAGCTTCGCTGGAAGGGTTTTTAGGTCTCCCACCTTGTTCGAGGATATGGTTAAGTGCATACTGCTCTGTAACTGCCAGTGAGTTTTGTCTGCCATCTGTTTGAAAAAATCCCTCATTGCCTCAAACCCCTTTTTTCTTTCCATTTTTTTCCCTCAAAACTTGTGATTTCCGACAGAGACTTAAACATTAAAACAATGTCATTTTTCTTATATTCAGAAGATATGAAATTGGAAGAAAAAAGGAAATAAAATGTTGGAGTAGTTTGTAAGGTTTAGTTCCAATTTTATTATAATTTCGATGAATAAAAAAAATAATCGTATTTTTTTATTGAATAGAAAATGAGAAGAAAAAATAAGTTAATTTCTAGAGATAATTTTTTTTTTTTTACTTTAATTGTAATTTCAATTTTTTTTCCTTTCTTACTTTCATTCTTTTTGACCAAACATATAATTAGGTTCATTTCATAGAATAGACAAAATATACGAAAAATAAAGTGAATAAAAAATAAGTAAATAGAAATAAGAATGAAATAGAGGAAAAATAATTAGGATGCCATTTTTCAATTCTCTTGCAACTAACGCATTAACTCTTTTATTTCTCACTCTTCAACTTATTTTTTCTTCACCAGACAAATGGTTAAATTTGTTTTGTTGCTCACTTTGTTGTTTTGTCAACTGTTGTGGTGGTGTGTCTTTGTTCTTTGTTTTCACTTTTAAGTGGGTTATTTGCTAAGCAAAATCTTTCAGGTGGCCAAGGACTTTGGGCATGGCACAAGCGCTCTGTGAGCTTCAGTTGGAACTGCAAAACGGGTTGCCCCATGCTGTTACTGTGTCGGGCAATGCAAAAGTTGAGACTGAGGGATTCATTCCCAAAACACCAGCGGCTAAAGAGACCCGGAGAAAGAAGGTTGCAAAAAAGGGCAAGCTTCTTAAGAGGAAATTAGAGTTTGAAGTGGACGAAAACTCACAAATGGACAGCGTGCTTGCTTCAGGTTCGAACACGACCTTGCTTCCAACAGATAATGGCAATTCAGAAGAGTTGTGTTCAGATGATTCATATCATCATCAGTTCCCTAATGGGAAAGATCAGTACTTTGACCGTACTGGAAATTTTCCCTCCCCAAGTGAGCTAGCAAACCTTGATGAGAGTTTTCTGGCAAAGCGATGCGGACTTGGGTATAGAGCAGCTTATATAATAGAACTAGCGCGGGCCATTGTTGAAGGCAAAATTCAATTAGAACAGCTTGAAAAACTGTCGGAAGATGCAAGCTTATCCAACTATAAGCAGCTTGATGATCAGCTGAAGCAAATTAAGGGATTTGGCCCATTTACTCGTGCCAATGTACTTATGTGCTTGGGATATTACCATGTCATTCCAACGGATTCTGAAACTCTTAGACACTTAAAGCAGGTACTGTCTGGTTGCTTTTCCTGCTTAATTATGTCTATACTGATTCCGAAACTATTGGACACATGAACAAGCTGCTGCTGTCTCGGACTTCCTATTTCATTTTATCTATTATATATACGCCCTTGATGTAGCGTATGAGATTTGTAAATGCAGGTTCATTCCAGAAATACAACCCTTAAAAATATTGAGATAGATCTTGAAGAGATTTATGGAAAGTATGAGCCCTATCAGTTCCTGGCATTCTGGTAAAATCAATAACGCCTAATCCAACTTCCTTTTTGTTTTATGATGCTATTGTCTTGGTGTAAATTTCCTTACTCGATCTATTTTTTTGACCAGGTCTGAGATATGGGACTTCTACCAAACAAGGTTTGGGAAAATGAATGAAATGCCTTCTTCTGACTATAAACTTATAACTGCTAGTAATATGAGAAGCACTAGTGAAGCCACAAAGAAGAGGAAGAGACCATCACGAAAATCTCAATGCTGAAGTCCTACTCCATAAATGCACTTTTTGGTGAGCATTGTTGAGCTTCTATGTATATCTACTTGGTGTTAGGGTATAATGTAGAAATAATTTATTATTTCAAGTTTGTAATTTTTGTTTGACTACTCATCAGCGCCAAATTGGATTTGATAGTAACTGAAATGATTGCTTCTAAATATTAATTAGCATTTATCCTGTTTTACCAAATAGGCTTTTGCTTGATGAAGGGCGTGCAGTAACAAAGCTCTTTTTTGATGTGATAGAGAATTCATTTGGCATATGACAAAAAAAAAGACAAGGATTTTAGACTTAATTACAACCCAAATCCCTATTTTATTTACTGCCCATGATCAAACAAATAGTGCTCATAGCGATCCGTGTTGTAAGATATGTATATATAGAAATTAAATGTGATTTATGAGGAGTTCTGAAACAAATTAAAAAAAGTACATATCTATATAAAATAATTATAATATCTGGCCCATGCAGGTCTCGAACCTGCGACCTTCGCGTTATTAGCACGACGCTCTAACCAACTGAGCTAATAGGCCACCTTGATATGATATAAAATTTGTAAATAATTATTTTTTTTAAATACATTATAATGACCTTGAAATAATAGAATATTGTTAGAAATTTTACATTAAGTAGAATATAAAATATAATATGATATTTAAGTATTCAGGCTCTTACCTAATAAATTAGTTTAAGCTAGACTCTCCATATGTATTTAAATGCTAACAATATTTTTAATCAAGAGCATAGCAACAATGACAATATGGGAAAGTTTTGAACACAAGATTAGTCGAAGAAAAAAGGAGAGGCATCCACGGAACAAATGGTGTCAACAATTTATTGATGTAGCAATTGTTAAATAGGATGAGGTAGGCCCAACATGATGAGGATATTTGGCCAGGATATCAATTTCCTTTCAAAATTCACATTTGAAATACATTATAGAAGTTGAAATTTTCATCATTCTGATTGAAATCATCACAGATCAATTTCATATTAGTACATGCCCATATATACATATGCTCAATACCACCACTTAGAATATATAATATCCTACTTGAAAGAAGTTGCATGATAAAATCATTAAGAACTATGAAAAATTAATTTCAACATCTATATAACAATTTTATACCAATCATCCTCCTCAAATTCTCGTATAAACAATAATTGGGCTTTTCTCGAGAGAAAATATCTTTTTATCTTTATATTTAAATTCTTTTTTTTTTTTTAAAAGAACCTATATTGAATTCTTTATACAAATGTTCTAAGATGTTTAATTGGAAGGTAAATAAAGTTTGGTCAAAAATTATTTTTGTCCAAGATAGAACTTGGACAATGTCTGATTGATTCAACCTTGGATTTAACACATTAACCTATGTTAGAATTTATTTACTTCTTCCATAGAGAAAGAAAGAAAAATATAATTAAATAGACTAGTTACTTACAATTATGAAAAATCAACTGAGTCAATATTTTCGGGAGGAGATATCAAACAATTTTCTCTTAATATGAACATTGATTAATAAAAAAAATTTCAAATCACCCAATTTATAATGTTTAAAGCACATATAATATCCTTCAAATGAGCAATCTATTCTATCTTTTTAAATGGGCTCATACATGATATCTCAATTTAAGAAACTCACTTAATTTTTACTCTAATACAAGTCCTTATATAAAAAAAAATTATTTGACTCTCAAATATATTTTCTCTTTAATCAATATCACATTCTCTTTCTTACATGTACACACAAATGTCACAAATAATATTTTATTATATAAAACAATATTTATTGATTATAAACAATTCAAAATCACATTTGACATATCAAAATAATATTTTATTGTTTATCAACCCTTATTATAATATTACTACTAGTTGCTTATAAATAACAACTCAAGTTTCTTTTCTACCTTTAAATGGATCTCACAATATTAATTTTTAACATTTTTTACTTCACTGATAAGATTTTATAAACTAGTCACACTTTTATACCTTTGTCTTTCTTTGTGTTGTTGTTAGTTGGTTATAGGGAGAAATAAAAACAAATAACATTTTATTGTTGATAACTTATTGCTTAATTAAGAGCCAAATCTTATTTTTAAGAAATTGAACTTGCCAACACATTACACTCAAATGAGATTATTGTAAGAATTGGTATTTATAATTGGAAATTAACCTAAGAATCTTATATTGGAGGTGCTGTTATATGCGAGCTTATATATATATATATGAACACGTGTAAACCTAAACTTCTACTACTTTGTACCATCGGTTGTAAAAAAAAATAAAAATAAAATATACCAAAATTTATCAACAACCTATGCAGTAATATGAAATTCTAAATATCATGAGTCATGATTTATTTCTGATAATTCTAAATTACAAGTTATCAAGAGTATTTTTTTTTTCAATCAACTAAAACAACCAACCTTTGACTATTTTTTTTTTCTTCGGGTGTAAAGGGTTTGAAATGAGAATGTAAGAAATTGAAGAAAAAAAAACAATAAAAAAAATATAATTATACAATTAGTTTCTCTCTCAAATTTGTTTTTCCTTCATTCGTGCTTACTGTGTGCATGTTTTTTTTTTTTTTTTATTTGTAAGAAAGTGAAAAGAAAAAGATAAATACAGCTAAGTTCTAAGGAAAGAGATACGAGATTCTCATAACATCAATCAATACAAAAAAAGTTAACAAAAAAGAGAGGATAATTTATCCAAATAACTAAATCTCTACATATATTACCTTTTGATATATATAATAGAATGAGATATGTCAATGTCTTCATTTTCTTCTTCCACTATTTAATTTCTTGAATAATAAAAAAGAGAAAAAGAAGAAAAAATGTCTTCATCCTTAAAGCGTTTGTTTCTCTATAGAACTATTTAATAAAAAACAATGAACAAGTGAGAGGGAGAAGTAGCAAATTAAATCATATCATAACACTTTTAAATTTCTCAATTTTACCAAGTTAATTGACACATAACTATTTCAACTTGACTAGTGATGGAAGTTGAAGTTTTGATATTAAAATTGCATTAAATACTCAAATAAAATTTTATTGATCATAATGATTTTAATCAACTTAAGTAGGATACTTGTGGTATGAAAAAAAAAATTCAAAGTCCCTTATTTTAATTTATATATATATATATATATAATCAAGTAGTATTTAAATAAAATCATTTTCTATATGAAAAAAAATAATATGCATCTTAACAATAATTTTTGTTGTTGGAATATTGTAAACTAGTATTAAATTCTTATTATATATAACAAGAATTTATAATAAATTATATGTACAAATAAATATTATATTTAAAAATATAAATTATATTTAAAATTTATATAAATAAATATTTTTAAACATAAATCATATTTTAGGTTTATGATAAATAATTTAGATTATAACATTATATTATTTTTATTTATTGATAATTTATTTTAAAAATATTAAAATTCAATTTATAAATAATTATGATAAATAAAAATTAAATTAAATAAAAAACTAAAAAATTTTAAAAAATTCTCTAGTTGAAGAATTTTTTTAAAAAAATATTCTTGTACAAGATAGAGATTTGTATTTAATATATAAATATCAATATTTTACACATTATCATCTAATTATAAATTATAGTATAAATTTATAGATACAAAATTATCATGTAATTAAACATCATTCATTATTGATTTTTAGAAAAATTATTTTAAAATCATATTTAATATAATTTTAATTAATTGATGGTATAAAAATATTTATACTAATGATATATGAAAATTAAAATGATTTTTAAATTATCACTTGTTTTAATATTAGCATTTTTGTAATATAAATTAATAATTTTTTTAAAATGTCAAATGTTATCAGAAAAGACCAAAACTTTTTCTTTGAAATATTCTTTTATTTATTTATTTATCAAGACATGGATAAAACCATTTTTTTGTCAAGTCATATATGTTACAAAATTATCTATCCATTTATAAGCACCAAATGATTAATAATATTTCTTTAAATAAGTTAATTCAAATTGTTAACCAGTTGGTTCAGGTAATTCAAACATCTCAAATAAAGTCTTAATAATTATGATAAAATTAACTTATATATAAGTTAAAAATAAATTTTTAGAGAAAAAAAATATGATAAAATTTCTACAAATTAGTTTATTTATAATTTTTTTAAAATATTTTTCTTTTTATTTTTTAAAATACTTAAAAAATTCAAATAAATTCGAACTACTCATTAATCTGATAAATTATTCATATTTATGCCCTCTATCATAATATAACACCCACTAAAGTAATTGAGGGTAGTTTTTTTGACAACATGTCCATTTGACAAAATGTGGCATTTGCATGAACAAGGAAAAGAAGAATGATGACACTTGGAAACATTGGGTACACTCAAAGCAACAAGTGGACCTCTTCTTCCCACTTGTTTTCTTAGTTTTTCATTAATATCACATCAATAATCAATCTCTTTCTCACACCATCTCTTTTTTCATATTTATTTGTCAAGGAATTTTAAGAGGACCATTATTTATAATAGCTCCACCATCCATCACTATTAATTACCTCAAGATTAACTTGATTTATTTATTTTTATCATGTACTTATTTTTTAAATTCAAATTTGCCTTTGTCTAGCATATTCAATCTTGTTACCAAGAGGAAGTCACAAATGTGGCTGCAAGAGCACTTCATAATAATGTAGAAATGAAATTAACTTAAACCTTAAACAAATATAATAAGATAATATCTTCAGTTTTTTTTTTTTAATTTTAAATTCTCTGCAACTCTGGGTGAGAGAAATGAGATTGAAAAAATAAATCATAATTCTATTCCTTCTTGCCTGAGGCAAGGGGACACGCCGCACGCAATAAAAAGGTCTTTTTTATTTTTGGTGCTACTCTATTAATATTTTAATCTATGATTTATTTTTAATACTTGTTGGTTCAAATTTTATTTTTAATACTACGTCAAAATATATTTCTTATGTTTTTTTTTAATCCCTATTCCCCTATTAGAATCATTTAATTCTGTTTAAAATGTCCTGAACTTAAACGGATTATAACAACATTAAATTTTATTATTTAAAATGAGATAATAAAAAATTAAGAAAATGTATTTTATTCTATTTTATTTTTTTTAAGTAAACCCATATTTTAGTTTTAGAATTAGATTATATTAATTCTTAAAAGATAATTTTTAAAAAAAATCAATAAATTTAAAGGACTAGATTTATTAAAATTTTCATCTGTAAAATTAGTTTATATATTTTTATTGAACAACATATTCCATTAATTCTAAATTAATTTTTACTTAATTCTATTAAGTATCTTTCTTTCATTAGTTCACTTCATTACTTCTTTGTCAACACATGGTTGGCTCGAAAGACGTGCAGTTGAAGTTTTTAGTAAGTTCTCAAATTTAAGTACTGTGATGAAAAAAAAATATATAATTGAAAGACAAAATCATATATACTAAAAATTAGGCTAAATACCTATTTTGGTCCTTTATAATCTTTTTTTGTTTCAATGTAGTCCCTCATTAATTTTTTGTCTCAATTTGGTCTCAAACTAATTAATTGGTTTCAATTTAGTCCCAAATAAATGAATTGGTTTCAATGTGGGCCTTCCGTCTAAATTTCTTTAACGGAGTTCACTGTTGCATAGGTGGATGCCACGTGGATGCATAGGTGGATGCCACGTGGATCTCAATTTTTTGAAAATACCTGGAAGCAGAATGGGCCGTTCTGGTTGCACTTTTAGTGTGTTAATTTTGCAACTGAAACGGGCCGTTCCAGATGCGAAAATTGACACACCACCAGTGCAGCAGAACGGGCCCGTTCCAAAACTGAGAATAGCATATTCTTTGCTTAATTGTGTTTTTGATTGCTCAAGTATTATAATTATGCAATTTTGATCCCTAAGATTTTAATTGAGTAATTTCAGTCCTTAAAAAATTTTAGTTGAACAATTTTAATCTCTCAAATATCATAATTGTGCAATTTTAGTCTTTCTTATTAAAAATTTAATAATTTTAAAATTTTAATATATATATATAATGTTTTAAAACTATATAATTGTTTCCTTATTTAAATTAACGTATATTATAATTTTTTTTAATGTATTAAATGATATATATTTATTATTAATTTTTAATGGGAGAAACTAAAATCGTACTACTATGATATTCGAGGGACTAAAATTGTTCAATTAAAAATTGAAAGACCAAAATCGCGCAATTGTAATTCTTTAGGACTAAAATTACCTAATTAAAATATTGTGAATCAAAACTGCACAATTGTAATTAAAATATAATTAATAATATATATTTTATAAAATTATTAATATTTTATATATAAAAAAAAATGAAA